ACATCTACGCACCGTGCCCGCGCCGAGCCCGAGTGACACCACCGCACCGCGTCCGTACCGTGCGAGATTAGTTTTGTTTAATTTTTGACGGGCACGGTGCGTTGCAGAAATGGAGAAACTGATAGAAGAAGTCAAAAAGTATCCTGTATTGTACGACCAAAGAAATGAAAAATATAGGAATGCTGAATATAAGGAAAGGGTATGGACTTTAATTGCTACGCATTTAGAAATAAAGGGTAAGTCAAAATACATATGTTTTATTTTCAATTAAGAATCCTGTTAAAATAGGTTGAAATTGATTATACCTACTATACAGGGTGAATCTGAAAGTGAGGTTTTATTTTCAAAAGGATATATATCTCCACCAAAATAAGACTCCATATAAAATATTTTGTTTACATTTCCTCACAGCCAACTGACGAAGTGACAAACTACCGACCGCACTCGTAGTACGACCGTCATGCGGCCGTGTGTTGGAAATGTGTGGCTTTTACCTTATTGAGCGACACACTGCCGTGTTACTGCACGGACTCGGTGCGGGCTCGGTGCGGATACGGTGCGGTCATGTGTGTCCAGACCTTTATGAGGACTTAGCTTAATAAATTTCAGATGGGAGAATGAAGCTGTCACGGTAACTTTGATAGGCGCTAACTGGGTAGTGGAGGTTTGGTAGCTTTCTGTCTCACTTTGAAGCACAATAATTCAATTCTAAATAAACATGTCAAAGCCAAAATGTATGGTATTTTTAATACCCGTCAATTTCATGTACAAGTAGGAAATTCCTAACCTAATTTTATTTGTGTGTTCAAGAACCGACATACGTCACTGGAATGACTGGTAAATTCTGATGTTCGGATGAGATTGTTGAGCTACGTCACTCACGTAGCAATTGGTTAACCATTCGCCTACCAAACAGTAGATGAAAATCTGGGGCGAAATCGCCTATAGGGCATGTCCATGTGACGTCACAAATGAGTTTGACAATCGCCCTGAGGTAAAACCATGGTAAAACCAATAAAACAAATCATTTATTTACATTGGTGTAGATTAGGCCGGTTATGTTTTATGCGGTTTTCACAGCTTTTTTGCAAGTTTGTGTGTTATTTTGTTTTGAAAAAGTTAAAGTAAAGTGTTTATGTTCCAGTCTATGTGGCTTTTATCCCGAAGTTTGCTAGGTTTTTCTATAATGGATTAAATTCAGGGTTTTTTCAACAAATATCAAAACCAAGTGTCACAAGAACAAATATATAAGTATAGTTACTCTAGTTGTATTCCTTTCACACCTAGGAGGAGCTCCGAAACAGCTCCGGGGCTTATTCCTTTCGAAAAGTGTTTGTTGCAACACGCATCTGTTCCCTGCATATCGCGGGCTACTAAACACCGGAGCGAGTAGCTCGAGTGTTTCAAACTCTTGAAAGGAATACAACTTCTATAATTCAATCTATTTTTCTGTCAGATCTTCTCTTTTAACAACATTAATCAATTTTTCTCTTCTTTTTTGAGCTAACAAATCAAACCTCTCATTGTTATTTAAAATTGATGGAAACCTATGGAAGGATATTGTATCCCTTGCGCTATACTGCCAGAATTAACAACTTAACAAACTCTAGGCATGTCCAAGAAACTTCTGGACCACACAAAAGGTATTTAATTAAAAAAATCTAACTAAAAACCTAAAAAACCACTGTAAATATATCTTTGTTTTACCTCAAGGCGACTGTCAATAGTGTCAAACTGTCAGATCGTGTACTTGCCCTATAGTCCCACTGCAGGATAACTAGCACTATGGAAACACCAATCCAGAAATAGACAATGATTATTAGGATGTAGAACAAAATGACTACCAGCAGCAAGCATACGAGCAACACCAATACACTGAAGGAGGAAATTTTCCAGAAGCGGCCTATCCAGAAACAGAACCATGATAGAACCACATAATTACACCGATCAGCTACCATAGATATTCATCGCCAATCCACCTTTAAGGCTCCTTATAGATACCAGCGTAACGAAATCATTTATCACACATAGCCTTTAAATACTTCAAAGATTGCATCCACCATGAGCCATTCACCGTTACTTCAATTTTTCAAAATCATTCACAGGACTATTGTGCTCACATTCTCATGTTTCCAGAATTCAACTCAAATGAGCGCGTTCCAAGTGACTAAGCTGCTGAACTAAGCAAGAAAAGGCTCACACTCAACAGTTGTAAGCGCTTGGAACGCTCCGCTTAATTTTTCGGCGCTTACTGTTAGTTGCCCCACAGCTGTTTTTGTTTACATGTTGTCGGTACGGTAATTAATTTTATTATTTGTAATTTGTTTGGTTTGGTGCCACTTTTATGCTGTTGAAGAGCTGTTAGAATGGAGGAATTAGTTCATAACTACTGCCGACTGCCACAAAACCGGAAAACTAAAATAAGATTATGTCCAAAAAAACAAAAACAGCAGCTGTGCGTATGTCACAACCGTTTTGACGACGGTGAGCGTAAAATTTCTCCACTCAATGAAATAGCCAGCCGCTGAGACTGAGCGCTCAAGGTTATGGCATTTGGAACGTTACGTTCACTAAGCGGTCTCAACGGTTGTGGCCCTTGGAACGCACCCAATTGAGAAAGCAAAATTTTACCCTCTTAACCCTTTCGCTACTGCGGGTATATACAGGGTGTCCCACAATCAGCGTTACAGGCCATAACTTTCTTATTTTCAAAAATAAAAATTTGAAACAAAAAAATTATTAATGGCTACTTAAGCTCTCTTCAAAAATATAAAAAAATCATCCCCTGAAAAAATCATCCCCTATTTACAACCCTTGACTTTTTTTTTTTCAAATGGCACCCCTATTATTTTTTTTTTATTTTTGAGAAGCTTATGAAATTACAAATTTGTATGGTGTATAAAAAGTTTGTTTTTCCATGTCTCTTGGGGGGAAAAAAATGGGTGTCCCACCCTTAGTCTTATACAGGCAATCACATTTTTGTCTACAAAAATAAAAATATGAGAAAAAAAAAATAATTGTGTGCAAATTAACCCCTTTTCAAGAATATTAAAAAAATCTTCCCTAACAAACTCATCCCCTAAAAACAACTCTTGCCTTTTTTTTCAAATAGAACCCCATTAGGCCTGTTCGCATAGCAATCACAAACCAGTCAGAGCGATTTTCATTGGTTGAAAACAGTCAGAAAACTAGTTTCAACCAATGAGATTCACGCTGACTGGTTTGTGATTTCTGTGCGAACAGACCTATTATTATTGTCATTTTTGATTTTTTTCTCCAAGGAAACATGGAAAAACAAACTTTTCATACATCATTGAATTTGTAATTTCATGAACTTCTCAAAAATTTTAAAAAAAATTAGGGGTGCCATTTGAAAAAAAAAAGTGAAGGGTTGTAAATAGGGGATGATTTTTTCAGGGGATGATTTTTTTATATTTTTGAAGAGAGCTTAAGTAGCCATTAATAATGTTTTTGTTTCAAATTTGTATGGTCTACGCGTCGTTCGGTGAAGCAACCGAGTGCGGAAAAATATTTTCCGCAAGTGTTAGGTACAATATTTTTCCTACAGGCGTAAAAATGTAATTTTTATTTTTTTTTTGACATATCAGTGCGGTAAAAATTTTTCCGCACTGACAGCCGTGCGGAAAAACATTTTCCGCACTGATATGCGTGCGGTAAAAGTTTTACCGCACCGTGCGGGAAAACTCATTTTCCGCACGCATATCAGTGCGGAAAATCGATTTTTCCGCACGGCTGTAGGAAATAGCTATTTACCTAACAAGTGCGGAAAATGATTTTTTCCGCACGCGGCTGCCGAGTGCGGAAAAATATTTTCCGCAAGTGTTAGGTATAATATTTTTCCTACAGGCGTAAAAATGTAAAATTTTTCTTTTTTTTTTGACAGATCAGTGCGGTAAAATTTTTTCCGTACTGACAGCCGTGCGGAAAAACTTTTTCCGCACTGATATGCGTGCGGTAAAAGTTTTACCGCACCGTGGGGGAAAACTCATTTCCCGCACGCATATCAGTGCGGAAAATCGATTTTTCCGCACGGCTGTAGGAAAAATGATTTACAACACTGCTGGTACATATACATACCATCCCCATTTCTCCACATTTCCATTTTTTGAGTTTTTCTTGTCCAAATGTTCTTCGTGAAGCGTCAATAAGTTAAACATTCGAAAAAAAACATTATAGTCGCAAAAACTGAAAGCCGTGTCGAAAGGGAGTCAATAACCTCGAGCTACTCCAAGCCAAATTGGACCTACCACAGTCGTTACTTACCAAAAAAAACGCCATTCTCCCAATTCAATACTACGAAACGATAAAAACCCTATTCTAACACCGTTTCCCGAGTAGGTACGACTTCCAAAAAAAGAAGCCCAGGGTACGATCCTTCTATCAAAACAAGAGCTCCAGGGCGTATAAATTACCGAAATACTCACATCTGCATGTAATCAACTCGCTTGGAGTGAAATTGTCAACACAACCGATAAAGAAGAATATTTTCAGGATATTTCGACCCCTGTTGCCAAAGCGAAATTTGGACGGGGAGTCTGGTATTCAAGATGGCGGCCAAGATGGCTTCCAAATCTCTGTGCCCTATATCTTTTTTGTCGGTTGGCATAAAATATTGATTTAAACGCCGGCTCAGTGGTTTTCTCGGATGCTTATCATATTGTAATGCTCAGTTATTACTTATCTTAAGCATGGAGTGCGTGGGTTCCAAGATGGAGCCCAAGATGGTCGCCGAAAATTTGTTGTGTTTACGTGTTCTTGTATTTGGAGTGCAATATCTGTCAGATATACAGTTTTTAATGGTTAAATGTGTACTAAATAAGTACACTATTGTATGGGTTACATAATGCTTGAAAACTCCTTGATAGAAGATATGGAGGGCAGATTTGTGCATCCTCTAGTACTTATGCCTCTCGAAAGACCCAGTCGAGATGCCTAAGTACTAAGGGATGCACAAATGTGACCTCCATATATCTATCAAGGAGTTTTCAAGCAATACAGCTTCCAAAATACAATTTGGAAACAGAATTGTGTTACTGAAGGTGTCGGAAATGGATGGCGGAAATAGATGGCACCTTCAGATCCTCTGAAGACCGTATGCGAAAGTCGACATCCGACCAAGAAGAAGGGAGAGCTGCTCCAGTCAGAAGGGACATCATAAGTGCAGCCATTCCACTGCCAAAAATTGGAAGAATTTTTTAACACTGGGAGAAAACAAGGCCGACCTAGCCCGCTTTCTTTCTCAGGAAGTTCTTCAATATGTCTTTGAGGCCATCGAAGTTGTTGTTTCCGGAGGACTCATACATGAAGACGATGTGCGAACAACCAACCCCGAATCCGATGTCAGTGCCCTCGCAGCGACACATGAAGAGGCCGATACACGCGTTGTACTACATGCTGTCCACTCTGATGCTGATATCGTCGTTATGCCCAGGAATACCGACATTTGTTTGCTGTTGATCCATCACTTCGACAAAATGACCAGTCCTAAAGTGTGGATGATGAGAGGCACATCGAGAGAAAGGAAGTACATGAGATTTGCAAAATTCTTCCTAATGCTCAAAAAAAGAACATCTTGGCGTTCCACGCAGTTACGGGTTGCGACTGGACGTCTCACCTTGCAACGATAACGAAGAAAGCAGCATGGAAAGTCTTCAATGGAACAGCCTGCCAACTTCTGGACAAGTTAGGCCAACTCCCTCATTAAAGTCGAATGCAGAGAAGTTTCTCGTATAGCTCTATAGGGTCGGTGAAGTTTATTCAGGTGTTTCAGCAAGTCGAAAGATTAATTTATTGTTAAAACGTTTCTATTTCTTCAAACAGGGGGCCAAAGATGTATCTAGCGGCGATGAAGCCAGATATCAGCTTTTCGGTGTTGAAAAAAAGCCCGAGGATTTACCTCCAATAAGCGATGCGCTGCAACTACACCTCATAAGATGCCATTATCAGGTAAAGAAAGGAGGGGAAGCATACTGTGATCAGTATATGCTTCTCGGTAATTATAATTTGAAAACATTTCAGGAGAACGTGTGGGAAAATGCTCATCCTGCCCGACCGGTGGTAATGGATTCTGAGTCATATGGGTGGAGGCTTCACCAAGACGAGTACATCCCCATCCTCATGACCTTTGAGCCCGTCCCCAAAGCCTGCACGGATATTCTTACCTGCAATTGTTCGTCCCACCGCCTGACAACAATGTGCACATGCAAGAAGAATGGACTCACTTGCACCAAGTTGACCCACCGCTCTCACCAATGTCTTAACTCATTAAAAGAGTGATTTATTATTTTTTTTTTGCATTATTGCCTTCAGCTAACGATACTAGAATGGAATGATTTTTTTATTGTCTTTATTACAATCCTGCAATAAACAATGTTTGAACTCTGGACTGGTCGTCTTACTCACTTCTTTCGGCGGTCATCTTAGAGCCCATGCACTCCAAACTTAAGGTAAGTAAATTTCAAGCATTTCAATGTAAGCAGATGTTTGAATCAATATTACAAGCCAACGAACAAGGGAAATATAGGGCAACAGAGTTTTGATCACCATCTTGACTGCCATCTTGGTTACCAGACCTCCGGTCCAAGTTTGGCTTTGGAAACAGGCAAACTTGTATTCAGCGGGGTCGAAATACTAAAAACATTGTTTCCCCAGTTGTTACATGAAATGCTTCTTGCATTGTTCATTTTTGAAAACGTGCCTAGTCTATATCTACAGCAAGAATCTAATTTCTCATCAGGAAGTGCCTTTACGAACCAGATCCAACACCTTATTAAAACATAAGATGAGATTCCAGTGTACACCAAGTCATATAAATATCCACATATCCATAAAGAGGAAGTGAAAATCCAGACATCTACATTGTTGGATCAAGGAATTACCAAACCAAGTCAGTCACCTTGGTCTTCCCCGATAATATGGATATTTCCAAAAAAAACATACGCCTCTGGAAAAATAAAATGGCGAATAGTAGTGGACTATAGGACTATGAGACGGTAAATACCCAATTCCAAACATAACGAACATTTTGGACAAACTTGGTAGATGCGAATACTTGACGACTTTGGATCTGGTAAGTGGTTTCCAAATCGAAATGGCTAAGAAAGATACATGCAAAACTGCTTCCAATGCCAAAAATGACCATCACGAGTATGTCCGGATGCCGTTTGGACTAAAAAACGCTCCAGCTAAGTTTCAGAGAGTAATGGATAACGTTTTGAAAGCCCTCCCAGGAGAAAATTGCTTAGTGTACATGGACGATATCATTTTGTTCAGCACATCACTTTAAGAACATCTGGTTTATCTTTAAAAAATCTTCCGTCTCAGAGAAACTGGATTCTAAATTTAAATAGACAAATGCCAGTTCCTAAAAAAGGAAGTTGCTTTTCTTGGACATATTGTTACACCAGAAGGAGCAGCTAAAATTAAAGCCATACTTGACTATCCGATACCACGAACCACGGAAGAAATCCGAGGGCCTCGTTGGATATTACAGAAACTTTATCAAGGACTCCGATAAAATTACTAAACTTCTTATTTCTTATCTCAAAAAGGCCGTTACAATAGAACTAACACCAGAATTTTTGAACTGCATTAGAACTTGCGAAAATTTACTGACAAATCAACCTCTTCTGCAATATCCAAACTTCAGCAAGTCTCTTACTATCTACTGCTACTAGCAACTATACAATTGGGCTTTACTATCCCAAGATGAAGATAATGCATATTTGTACAACAATGCAGAATTAATCGTCGACATAGACGAAGTTCTAGAGAAACCCGGTTCGCAAGCGAAGGTCATCAATAAAATTCTTGATAATCCAGAACTCATACAATCCGACCCGGAAGAAGATAACGAAACTAGACACACTGCTTAGGAAAAACCTATCAGCGAAAGAGCCCTCAACTACTACAATAACCAAATTGTGCTTAAGTCTGTTAATTATAATCCAAACCGATAATAGAAGTGTCCTTCCCTAACAAATCCAGGCTACAAGTCCAAGCAAGAATAACTTAGAAGGAAGCTTAATAAACCTTCTTAAAGAAAAAAATAGACCCCAAAAAGAAGTATGCAATATTCTTTAAAAAAACGAAGATATTTATATTCCTCTATGCAACATTCTCCAAGAAAATTTGAAAAATTCTGCATTTAAAAAATGCAACTTTCTGCTAGAAGATGTCAATAGCGAAGAACGACAAAGTATAATAATCCAAGCCTACCATCAAGGAAAAACAAATCATCGAACCGAAGCGCAAATCTGAAGGAAATATTACGGAATATTATAGATGTTTGCGACATCTGCCAGTCTAACAAATACGATAGAAATCTAGCCAAACCTAAATTCATGATTACTCCAACACCGGCTAGACCTTTGGAAATTATCACATCCAGATACCCTTGCTAAAAGTTTTTGACAATTATTGATTCCTTCTCAAAATATGGACAAGACTACTCCATAAAGGGATCAAATTCAGTGAATGTTCTTAATGCCCTCCTAATCTTTCTAACATATCATGGAATTCCACACATGATAGTCACCGATAGTGGAACAGAATTTAAGAATGTACTTATACAGGAATTTGTAGATACACATAAGATATCCATCCATTACTACCAATGATAACCCACACTCCAACGGGATGATAGAAAGATTCCACTCCACCATTATCGAACACCTGAGGATACTTCGAGAAAATAAAAAATCCTTAAGCGTTAAAGAACAAAACAATATGCACGTCTGGGATACAATTATTGTATCCATTCAATGACAAACATGCGACTAATGGATATATTGATTGGTCATCTGGATGCGCAGGATCCGTTTGACGTTGACGTCAAGAAAACGCTTATAAATAATTATACCCAGCAACACCAAGAAAAAACGAAGACTATTTACAGGAAATTGAATCAAAAGCTACATGATTCCAAAGAAAAGTACATAGGAAGAAGAAACATAATCAAGCAAACCTCCCTCACCTACAAACCTAGCATGAAGATCTAAACCAGAAAAAATGTAAAGCGGAACAAACTACCTATATACTTTCAAGATTTTCTCCCAAGGCAGTTAACAATGACAATATTGTGATCGTTGACACTCAAGACACGATAATACATAAAAAGAATAATAAAAATCTTTCAGGAAATTCCTTATAGATGTTCCTCATGCGTCGCTCAGAACCTCCTGATCCAGGACCCGTCAAGCAGTAATTAAGGAACTACAGTTTCTGGAAGAACAATACAAATTAATCAGTAAGAATAGCAATAGGGAATGGACTGAGTCACCCATAATTCAGAAACCTGCAAAATTTCGATCAAAGTTCCTAATTTCTGTTACAAGCCGCCAATGAAAAACTTCGTACCATCATACCTATCCATCAAAGATCCAGAAAAGGAATTTTCAATATTCTCGGCAGTGTTATTGAAATCATATCTGGAAACCTGGATCACGAAGATGCCCAAAGGTACGATGCCGCAAGCGCAACATTGCAACATAGCCAAGAGAATATCGTCTCCCTAGTGAAACAGCGAAATAGTTTTGACACAAAAATAATGGAGAACTTCAACCACACGATCTCCCTTATAACTCACAATGAAGAAACTATAGAAAAGTAGCGAACAAAATTAACTCCGAACTAAATAAATCCATGTTCGACTTTACCCATTTTCTACAAGCTAGAAACGTCTGAGATCATAGTATTTTCTACTCTCTCTTCATGGAATGTTATTCGCCATGGAAGAAATAGGGTTATACCGCCCATGCTCGGTCGCCACAGGGAGAACCGCGCGTAGGTAAGGTTGACGTTGAAGCTATACTTTTATCTCATTACACTACTTCTTACCCACCCAATTCGAAATGTACAGTTGTATTGGATGGTGTGGAAATTGCACAATTTTTCAATGTTTTTGTTCACATATAAACGAAGTTTTGTCAGATTTCAAACACAGGCCACATAGCTATCGACTGATTCTCAATCCACTCCTTCTTGATCCATATTTCAACGTTGACTATTCCACTACCAGAAGCAAATAATACTTTTAGGATCCCAACAGTCTCCAAGCAAATAGTCTTCCTTTAATATTTTCTAGTTTTTTGTGGTTCTCCTCCAACTTCCTGGAATAGTTTTATAACTTCCCCAGTAATACAACAAATTATATAGGTACTCTTAACTATTCACAATCATAAAAATCCACTGTGTGTGTGTATACTGTCAAAGCCGATACGCTTCCGTATTTTGCCTTCAAAGTGCTCACGCGAACACGCGACTTTGAGAAGATAGTTCGTTCACCGGTAAAATCGAAAGCGAGGACGACAGCAATTAACCGATGCCAAAATATAAACGCAATTACCAGGATTCATTAGAGTTGCCTACTTTTAATTGGAGATGAACCTTAACAATGGCAATTAATTTTAAAACAATAGTAATTGACACCGCCGTTTTAGATTAACTAGGCAATGCATCGATAAATTGTTCAGGAAATGATTCATTTGTGTAATATTAGTTTTAACATGAAATTGACAATACTATCTATGACCAAGATAGTAAATAAACTAGTTTATTAACCACCCGAAGAGAAATATTTTGATTTCAAGTCATTTGTTTGAACAAACCTAATGATTGCTTCGGCAGTTTTTGGTCTCAGTGTTTCCATGTTTTGTTGATTTCTTCTGAATACTTTTGTGCTCTTACACGTTTCACTTCCTTATTATTTAGTTTTAGAGTTTTCTTCTTAGATTTTTTACTTCTAATTGCTCTTCCAGATATTTTCTCATTGTTTCAGCATCAATTTCAGGTTCATTGAGTTCTCCTTCATGTGCCTCTTTAAGTATTCTTGCATTTTCTAATGTTTCATCAACAAATTTTTTTTGAAGTTTTATTCCTTTGTTTAGCTATTTTCCCTTTCTTCTTGTTCATTGAACTCTCTCCATTTTCTGCAATTTTCTTATAAGCTTCAAAATTAATTTCTAATATTTTGCTTTCTGAATTAGTTGGTCTTTTGGTTAATCTATTTTTATTTATTTTTTCTAAATATATTTCGTTTTTGTTTCCTGACTTAAAACTAATTTCTTCTTTACATAAAAATATATTTTCAAATTGAGGTTTTTCAATAATTACTGATGTCCTAACTCTAAAATACACCTTGACTTTCTTTGTTAATTAATAACTGATGATGTTGTTTTGAGGTTGATGGTCCTTTATGGACTTGCTGATTGCGAATATTGGGGTTATTTGCTGGTGCAAAGCTATATTGATGTTCGTCGGAATAATTTTCTGGAAAGTTTCGCTTATAAATCTTGCTTGAAAATATAAATAAAATTTGGTTGCTTTTAATAAACCCTAAAACTTATTCATAGGCGTATTCTAAGAAAATATCTTGTTTATTGACCAATTTAAAGAAGCACACCGTTGACCTTTCATACAATAATATGTAACCCACATTATATCAGAGAAAGCATTGCAATCAGTTTTTTGTTACCCACAGACAAAGCAACTGACCTTTCCCAAAAATCTATGGTAATTGAAATCACCCAAAATAATATGTTGAAACCGAATAAAACCATGTTAATGAGGATAATTTTTATTAGAAGGTAGGCAGATGTACCCACTATTTGCATCATACCTTATGTGATTGACCAGTTTACCTTGAGCATTTTTATAGAAATATACTAGGTAAAGAGCAAGGAACCAACAACTTATATCAAGGCAAAATGTTTTATTACAAAATGATGATTACGATTAGACTACAAATATTGTAGTCAATAAACTACTTCTGAGATTGTTGAGAAAATATAAATTGAAAATACAAATTAATGTAACACTAACTTTTTTATTTTTCTCTGGGAAGTTTTCCAAATTTTTTCCTAAATCCTATAGTATTTGTCCTACCCATCACACAAAATTACTATAATTACTATAAATTAGCATCTATCTAATGTTACCGGTAAGATAACAGATCTCTAGCTTAATGATGACCCTATCGCTGCACATAAAGGATATTAATGATGATGAATTGGGGAAGAACGTGACGCGAACACTGAACACGGAACCGTACGATTTTTCTTGTATTTATTTTCCCCAAAAATGCATTGTCTGAAACTTGTAAAATAAAACAGGATACACACACACTACTATTGCTTTTTTTTGCTGTTTGTCGATGTGAGTGTAAAATGGAGATTTTTTTGAATAATGCGTATGCGTGTTGCATGCGTAAAGATAATCTATGGGATAATGGAGAAATAATAATCCTTAAAAACGAAAGTGCGAGGACGTGTGTTTAAATATTGTCACGAAGTACGCGGTTCCATTAAAACTATTTACTAACTGCAACAATTTTTATTGAACTTATCAAGTTCACTTATCTCGTTTGCGTAACAATGTTGAAGTTGGACATCCCATCCATTTTGACTGGTTTTTAATTATTGAGAATGAATGCCTTGTGTTACAGTTCTGCCAAAAAGACTAATAAAGTACAGATTGTATTATTAGAAGGTAAACAACTCTCTATTCTGCTTAGAAGTGTACCTGGTGCAAATGATGATAAAGAGAAGTATGAAAAAAGCCTGTTCTTTTATACTCTAGCTAACAGCAGTGCCTCGCTTTTGCTTACTATAAATATGACTCAAGAAACATTACAAAAAGTAATGAGATTTACCAACAGCTAGGGAAAGGCTGGAGCTTAATAGACTGTATGATGGTGCAGTTGAAGGAAAGACGTATGATTTATACATGCAGCTCTTATGAACGATGACATTGTCACCAACATTTCAAAATTTAAAAAGTGGAATAAGTGACAAATTGAGAAAGCTGCTTACCAGAATTATTATTATTTGTACAATACTGATAGGCACATCAGGGTATATTCTTTCGATCTAATTGAACTGAATAAACCAATTTGATTCAACTGGAAGAGATTTTTATTTTCACATCACTTCGCTACATTCTGCTGCATCGAAGAAACAAAAATCTATATCAGCTGATCTGACTCACAAATGATCTGAAAGTGAACGTAAAAATTGTGCGATTCCTTCGGGCTAAGATAAAACTGATTGCAATCATTTGGTGGGTATGGAGGAGAAGTACCCTGAACAGGCATTTCTGTCGGTAGTTAAAGTGTATGCCGGAATTTTTGCTTGGGTTACCGGAGTTTTTACCATTATTGCCTGTTGCTACTAATTTTCACTGCTACTGCTCAGCGTCATTACATTTCCGTTCCGACACCTCACCAGCTTATAAAGTAGTTAGGGGGAACCCGCTCTGACTACACAAAATTAGCGCCTTACAAATTTGGCGCCCGAGCAGGGACCTGTCGATGCTTCCGCCAGTACAAGTTTAGCCGTATCCTGACCAACCCCATTAATCGTATGCAGCGAATACTACTTATAAAGCCGTTCTTCTGAATTTCGTTGTGCGCATGCACAGTTCAAATAAGCCGGATTACCTGCTTTTCGACTAAATCGAGACTGCTGATTGCATGTATTGTTCCCACAAATTCGCCCGCCCAATAGTTTCCAAATTATTGAACCTTTAGTGACCAATTCTACCGAATTTTGATCAGCAAGATGCCCGGAGATACCGCAAGCGATGATGCAAAACCTCCAGTTACACCCATGTTTGTTCACAAATCAACCGAAGTTTCCAACAGCTTAACAGCCACTAATATAATAAACACCCCAACAACCATAGGCATCAACCTGTCCAGTACTGGCACCAGTGACGAGTGAGTTGAGTATCTGAGTATTCGAAAAAGCTATACCAACACCGACCAGTCAGGCTATTGTTTTCCCATCCCCCATAACCATTCCTAGTAACTCTGCCACCCCGACTTCCGCATTCAACAAATAAATATTACGTCCTCATCAATAAGCAAACCGTCCACCACATCAATCACAACGGCCGGCATTACTACTCTCATACCCACTCTAATTGTCCAATAACCTATCACAACACCGACCGCTTATAGCCTTCCAGGCAATTCCCTGTTAGCCACGCTGAAAGTTTATAAATGGGATTTACATTTTCATGGACGAACGGATCCGGTAACGTTCATTGAGAGATTACAAGAAATCTGTATCTCTCAAGAAATCCTAATAGACCGACTAATACCGCACATGCCGAAAATGTTACGTGACGAAGCATCACTCTGGTTTCGAAACAACCGAACCCACTGGAACACGTGGAACGAATTCCTGCAAGATTTACGCAGCTTCTACTTTCCCATCAATTATGCTGCTAATTGAGAAATTGAAATCAGCCATCGACTACAAAAACCCAATAACCCACGCACCGTTACATCACCGATCTGCAAACACTAATAAGAAGGCATGGCAATATTAACTCCGACCGAGAACTGCAGTGGTTGTTCCGAAACCTATTACCTGAATATCGACAGCATATCCGGAAAAGTGAGATTACCGACGTTGTTTCCTTCTCGAGAACCATAGGGGAAGTGGAGCTTTTATTGTCAGGAATAACACCTCATTCAAGCCGGAATTCGTATTCCACTCCTGCCAGAATTTCCCTAACTGATAACCCGCCTAGAATCTGGCAACCTGAAGGACCCTTTGAACAGATCGAACAACCCCGACGAAACTCCAGGTATGAAAGGCCGATGCCTACCCGGAACAATCCACCGAATGCAGCGACGAGCCCCGTCAACTGCAACCCCGGCCCTAATGCCAGAGTTTGGAGATGTGGGGAATTAGGACATTTACGGACGGAACGCCAAGCTCTACCTGATTGCCGTCCTCATATTTTGATTTACTTGTACGACACATCGTTATCAGCTCTCGTGGATAGCGGAGCTGCAGATTCTTACCTAGGAGATTTTGCCGCAGAAATTTGTCGAGAAAAAGGAGCTCTTGAAGTGCCACCGCCCATCAGAAGTGCGAAAGTGACCAACGGTAGCGTAATCGACATAACCAAAGCATACCGAATGCCGCTGACATTTGGTAACGTACGCTGTCTGAAGGATTTAGTTATTTTCCGCACCTCACTTCTGAAATAGTTTTGGGAATGGACATTTTAGGACAACACTCATCTTATTTATTTAGATATTCGCTCAAATCTGGTTTATTTAGACAGCAAACCGCTAGACAATCCGAATTTGTGCAGCCTGATAGGCCAGATCGATCCGACATCTAACTTAGAGTTGACGAAAAGTTAGACATGGCGCCTTCAAGAATTTCTAGAGCATGAACTACCAAAGTTCGGAAAAATTCAGGGAACCACCCCATTAATTAAACACTTTATGAAACTGCTCAACCGGAACCCATTAAACAGATACCGTCCGCAAAATCCGAAGATGCAGGAAATAATTATCAGTGAGGTAGAAAAGATGCTAAAGGAGGGAATAATTGAGCCTTCCTTCAGTCCGTGGAGCTCACCAGTGGTCATTGTCCCTGAAAAAGATGGCAAGTATCGTTCTGTAATGACTTTCAGAAAGTCAATACCATTTCCAGAAAGGATGCATACCCCTTGCCCTACATCAATGCCATCGTTGATAATCTCCGTCGGGCCCGTTACATTTCAAGCATCGACCTTAAGCAGGGCTACTGGCAAGTTCTGCTGACAGACGATAGCAAACCGATAACCGCCTTTACAGTGCGGCCTTGGGCTTGGCTTATTTCAATTCCGAGTTATGCCATTTGGATT